GGGGGGGGGGGGGCTTATGGTTGAGCCAATTGGGCCGGAAACAAGGATCTACTACACAGCGCCCTCTCCGCTCGGCAGCGGCGGCCTTCCCGCCCCGGGACAAATAAAGACATGGGCTCTCGACCTCCCCTGCCCACCTCGCCCAGTCTACCTCGCCCCGTCTCCCTAGCCTACGGTGGCTCGACTGTACCTCCCCCTCGTCTCCCCTGCCTAGTGTGGCGCACCCTATACTGTCTCGCCTCTAGCCTTGCCTTGCCTCGCACTCGCCGCCCGTCAAAGGGAAGCAACACTATTACAAGAGTTTGCCGCTGTAATCATGCTCGACGGGTGCGCTCCGCAGCCGTGCGTGTATCTTATCAACAGCTAATCCCCATCTCACTTTCACGCCACGCAACCGAGACGGTTGGGTTGCGTTTGACTCCGCCCCGCAGACGACGATCAGCTCAGAGCAGGTGAGAAGGGCTGTAACCGTTACTTTGAAAAACAAAACGGCGTTATTGGGTTTACGGTCATCGTTCTGTAACAATAACGGCGACGCGTTAGATTTTCGGGTGTTTGTAACGTTTAACCCAACTAAACCTTTGCCACGATGAAACGCCGTTCCCCGTCATTTGAAATCGAGAGTTATGAGCTTTGACACAAAGCGAGCGCAACTCAATCGAAATTTGTACACAGATTTCATGATTGCGCCGGATATCACTCGAAAGTGGTTGGCGTCTTTTAAAACGCTTAAACACTGGCGACCTCTGGAGAACGCCAACTGTTGGCGTTCAAAGACAACAAATGCCAAGAAACGCCATATGTTGGCGTTGAAGGACGCCAACATTTGGAAGAAGAACCCCAATATTTTGCGTTGAAATATGCATCAGTTTGTACTGATTGCGTACCTTAAATTCTTGGTTATTGTCATAATTTAAATATTTATTGTTATCGAATAATTTGCTAAATAGGGGTGCATCAGTTATTTTGATCTGCAGCTCCCCAGTCAACAAAGCAGCTCCCATTTACTTTTGGGAGGAGTTTGGGATCATCCCACACGAATTCCTCACTCGTGCTACTGGGACATCCCAAAAGTACATGCCTTGGAGCAAATCAGGATGTCTTGTGCAGCACGACCACATGGACATCTTGGCCGGGATCTGATTGGGAGGTACTTCTGAGTTAAGGTACTGAGAAGTTACTCCTCAGGATATACCTGCGGTAAAGCTCCTCGGGGTGTCCCGCCGAGGAACTACTCAGCATGTCATCAGGCAGGACGTAACATACGAGTACCTCCTCAGGAGCACCCGTCGGGCTGCTCCTCGGGGCGTTCAGTCAGGGTGCTGACCAGCATGTCTTTGGAAAAGACGTTACGTATGCATCTGCTAGGGATGTGCCAGTATGAATGTCACCAGGACGTACTACCTAGAACCTGCTCGGGATGTCATGGTTATGGAGACTATCAGGATGATGAACATCCTGTATACATCTGCTGCGGGAGGTCTTTGGCATGCCAGTGCCAGTGGCAGCCGTGTGCCGTGCTATATTCTGCCGACAGATGGCGCTAGCGACGCGATCCTCGTAGGTTTGAACATTTTTGCGTTAAAATGTACGAAATAAAAAGTATTTTGAAAAGTTACGTTATTTGCGTATAAAGCAAGGGGCATGAAGTTGAATTGCACAACCAATGTTCACTTGCATGCACAATTTCAGATTTTATGTGATGTCTAATTTAAATCTCGCGGATCATCCGCATACCTCTCTTGTAGACCCCTCGCCAAATGTGATTTATAATTGTGGTCAAATGATACATCACATAACTGCCATAAATAAGTTTTGTAAACTCTGTCAACCTTGACCGAGGTATCCAGGACCTGCAGCCGTTTCTTTAGAAAAAGAGGAACGTACACACGGACAGACAGACTCACGACGGAGGATGTCGCCTGACCTCCCAGAGACTTAGACTTAGCTTCGCTCGCTCACGTCTATTTTTCTTCACACTACTGTAAATTACGGCAGCGCGACGCCTACAATTCTAAGAGTAGGCCAACCTGCAGTACACGCATGCAGTGCATTCACAATGTTGCCTACCTACCAGGCGAGATTACACTTTGCAGAGGCTAAACATGGAAGTTTCGTTGACGACCTATGACCATCGCACTTTCTGGATGACATCACATCACCACAATGCGGATGACAATTTAAGTAAAAGAATTGTTTCATTCCTTTGTACAAAATGTATTTTGTTCTCGATGTCTCCCTTATCGTTATTTCTTGATTAGTTCTTTCTTCTGAGTATGCTGAACACTTCGGTCAAGTGAAATTTCGCGTTCAAAGAGAAAGGTGTTAGAGGAGCTAAGAAAGAACGAGAATGACAGAATGGCAAGTAGTGTCCCTCATACTTTCTAATCTTCATCCTACAAATTCATGGTAAATTAAATTGTACAACAGTTATTGTCAAAGAAGGTAATGGGGAAAGTTGGCTGGAAAGTCAGTCCCAAAGAGGTGCGCTGGAGTGTTGTGATGGTGGTGATTGGGTGGCGCGGCGGGGTGGGGCGGCGCCGAGCTGCGCGGGGGGTGGCCGTGGGGTGGTGCGCGTCGCGCCGGTGGGGTGGGCAGGCCCACCTGGATGCCTGGCGCAGCGCCGGGGACGAGTCTACCTCCTCGCCCTGCTCACCGCCTGGTTCCCCCGTCTCCTCAATGACTTACCTGCCGTGAGGCCTACCTGTCAGGGGTGCTTACCTGCGGCTAGGTGAGAGAGGGGCTGGTAGGAGAGGCGTCAGAGAGAGAGTGGAGAGACGTAAACAGAGATGGATGGTAGAGAAAGGTGGTAACGGGCAGGGGGGGTGAACCAGGTAGATCGGAGTGAAAAGGGGACAGGGGTGTTAGAGAGAGATAGAGGGGGGTGGGGGCAAGGACTGAGGGAGAGTGAGCAAGGAGAGAGGGAGGTGAGCGGAGCCCGTAGGTGCGCAGTGGGTGGTGGTCCCAGACCAGGTCTGCCCCCCCTCCTTCCTCCCCAGCCGCTCCCCCGCCGGAGCACGCCCCGGCCTATTCGGCCGATCGGCGGCGGCCGCTGGTATGGCTGGCGGGGCTTAGCTGCGGGGCGCCGCCCGCGCATACAGGAAGCGATTAACTTAACCTTTTGTTCGTGGAATAATCCCGACCCGTATGGTGATCCAGCAGGAGCGATGGCGGCCCAGTTTTTGTCTCAAACAGTTTGTGATGTGTGTTGGTAGAACCCCCACAGAGAGACCTCACGCGCGGGGTAGGTTTGATTGCTGACTCGTCCTTGACTATTGTGTTCCCGCGAGATTACACACACCTACCGCGACGTCCACGCCTCAACCTGGGTGTGACCTGCCTGACGCGGATCCCTCAATGTGCCCTTTTTAGCAGCACTTTGGGGACCCTTCTCTTCCTAGTGGGGAAAGCCAAGGCGTGCATCCAATCAGCCGGTCCAATAGGGGAGGTCCCCCCGAGGGGGCTCCTGAGCAGCCTGCTCCAGTGCTTGCGCAGACGGCAGCCCCCAGCCGCCCCCAGCCCAGCTGCCCCAGCTGCCCCCAGCTGCCCCCAGCTGCCCCCCGCGCTCACGGGTTGCCGTTTGCTGCGGCCGGAAAGCCGGA